TTGGACAACCGTAACAAACGAAGGGTGGTGTATTGGGGACCGGGGTAGGGTCAGTAGGGTCATAGGACAGGGTCAGTGAAGATTATTACCCTACTCTCCTCGCGCTGGAAAACCCGTCTGGTATCTTGATAGACCCGTTCACTAAGTGAACCTCTTCTTCAGCTCCCGGGCTCTCTCTGGAATTCTTGCGGTTTGGTGGGTCCTACTTACGACCTGTTCAGTGATCACTACCACTGACTGCATGTTCGCCGAATGCTTTTGCGCGAAAAGGCTATGCGAGAAAACGAACAAAAGAAACGCTTTCTCGTGCGGGGCACACGTCGGCGCGCTCCACAGGGACTGACCGAGTGTCGTTCAACAGAACGCCCGGCCGAGACGCGTCCCTTTCCTCAAGAACAAGCGGCACTTCAAGCGCCATCCAGACAGCCCAACAGCGCTTTTAGTGATCTCTCTGAAGCACGTTATATTTCTTGAGTACCATACCGTGGCGATGTCGCACGTCACAGCCGCTAGAACACTTCCCAAAGACTTTATTCTTACACAAATGCCAAGTCTCTCGGGCAATCGCTCAGAAACTCATTAACTTATCATATGTCAACGCCAAACATTTGCTTTACTGAACTCCGATGAGAGTCTGACTCCTTCCCAGTTTTTAGCAGAATGCAATTCCTGATTTAAATCTGAGCTCTGACCCTGAGTCGGAAACTTCAGTACAAACGACCAAAGGTGGCAGAGAACTCAAACACCGACTCGTAGTAAGTGACAAGAAGCTCTGCTGGCCTCATTCGACAACGTCTCTCCATTTCAATTCGGATCTAAAGCATTTATTTTTCAATTCCAAACTAAAGCCCTACATCTTCTGAAACACAAAACCATGAGGAATATTTCGTGCAACGCGACAGCCGGTAGGGGAGGAAGGGGGAAGTGCGCATCCCATCCATATCATTCAAATACAACTATGGCTTAGTAAAATAAAAAATGCAACGATTGTTTTCTTAACTTGGTTAACTCCACTCTGAAGTGAACAAAATATTTCGTATCTAAGGCTGCATTGTAAAAGTATTAAGGGTTCATTAAGCATACGTGTCTGGGCAATCAACAACGTACACGGAAAATACGCGCGAGACTGGAAACGCCGGCATCGGGCCTCGCACTCTCGTGGCCCCCGGGTGCTCCCAGAACAGATCGACAATTCGTAAAGTGACAACGAGCAATGCTCCGTGCTGCGATATCACAGATTGCTGTCATGGCTTTCTAGGGTTCTTTATTGGGCCCACAGATTAAATTAAGTCGATGATATGCTACGATGAACTTATGCTAGCTCATTCTTAATTAAGAACGAACATCAGCATAGATTCAACCCATCTGCTCGTAGTCGATTTTGTCCGCGACGCTCGTTAGACAGTCACAGGACCGAGCCATGGAGCTCGCACGAGCACCGACTGTGGCCGTCATCTTCTCCACCAGCTCTCCACCTTCTCCACAGTTTTGCCCTGCTACGAAACATGTAGAGCACCGTCGTCTTCGAACATAGTGTCTGCTGAGGGTTGAACACACAACAGAACACATTGAAAGGGGGACGAAACAGAACAATCCAAGCTTCGACCAATCATCTCAGAATCAAAACATTGAACTGCGGATGTTCGGACAGCAACCGATAACGGTACCCATTTTTCCACTTTATTTATTCGAACTGTTGCAAGTGTGTGTGCGTCCTTATGCTACTGATGTATCGATGGTAGCTGTTGGTTGGCTGATCAGTTAGGATTTGTTAGGTTAGGTTAGTTTAGGCAAAGCGAGGTAAGATGAGACTAGGTGAGGTTAGGTTAGATAAGAAAAATTTACATCACTTGCAAAACCTGCTCGTTTGATTTACCAGTGACATCAGATAATTCCAAAAGCATTAGCTTCCTTAACTGCACATTCACCTTTTTTCATTCACCATTCTCTCGTGCATATGGTGGCAGATCGCTCGTAACAGCTGATCAGCGAATTATTTCAATATCCTTTGCTATTTTTCAATAATGTGGAATATTATTATGTGAATGGGATATCCTTTATTCTGGCTTGCGTTTGGTGATAGCTCATTCGCAACAGCTTGCGCTGTGTTGTAGAGATGAGACAAGTATATTTCCCCCACCGTATGGACTTAGATCATTATTATTTGATGCTGACACATTTGAGAAAAATGTTAGTATCACCCTACGCTACTGAAAACAAATGACATCAACAATCTAAATCATTAATGCCCATTTTGTTGAATTATAAACATTGTTTTCTGCTATTAAGGAGGTAAGCAATGCACAATGTGTTCTTAAAAAGCTGTATAAAAACATTACCACAGCCATATATGAACAAACCTAAATTTAAATAATACCACAACCATAAATGAGCAAACTCGTGCTTATACAACAATAAACATTTTTTTCAAGATACTCAGTAACTGAATGGGTTGATAGTTGATGCGTCTGACACAAAACCGGGTAATATTTTCTGAACCCGCTTAAGACTAATAAAAAGCATTCGTAAAAATATCTGCCTAAAAATAGTCAGTCACAAAATTTTTCCTCTTCCAAACATCCTTCAGAATGCAGCCGGAGGACAATTCGGTTCTCAAAGGCCTTTGTAACCACCGACCCCGGTGAAGCGTGCACGAAGAGGTACAATATTGGCAAGAATTGTCATTATTGAAACGGGCTTCATTACGCACATACGCAGCAGAACATGCTTATCATAGCCTCAACTTATCGTAACCTATACGTTATCATAGCACAAACGAAACGAACTTCATTACGCACATACGCAGCAGAACATACTTATCATAACCTAAACTTATCGTAACCTAAACGTTATCAGAGCATGAACGAAACGGACTTTATTACGCGCATACGTAGCAGAACAAAGTTATCGGTCGTTCATTCCTTCGCTTGCCCTCCACCTCCTGTCCAGCGGACACCACCTCGCACCAAAACATTGCTAACCATCTATTACCCTACCTGCTCATAGGCGCGCGAGCTAAAAGCGAAGGGAACCGTGCACCGCAAAATGACAGTAGAGCTGGGGCTTTTTGTCTCGTAATGTCACCAATCGATGTGCACTCAGCCCGGGCGTCACTGGAAATGACCTCGTTGGCGTCCCGCAATGGACACCGAATGGGTGGTCGTGGCTTTAGCCGTCTGGCAGTTTGGACAATGAATACCCCACAATTTAGACGGACGCAAGATTGCGTGGCATAAAACATACAGATCGCACACCCGGCGTCCATTTCATTCATACCCGCAGGCAATTGAGACCCGCTCCTGGACGAGTCCGGCCTGGATAAGTGTAAACAATGGTGGAAATCCCTTTTCGGAATTGCATTTTAGGAACTTCGTTGTTTCGTTCGAACCCGGCCCAGACAACCAACTCCTCACTTCACAAACCACTGAATATACCAAATCGCTGGATTGTTGGGGTAGAATCCAGCGAGTGACTCCCAGTGACGCCACTGTGGGGTCGTTGCTAGCAAAAGGGCCTTCCTCCACGGCGCGCAACAGTGATGAGATGAAATCACGATGCACGCACAATTTCCAAAAATAACACGACTCAAGTTACCTTTCTTTTCATGATTATGTTTTACAGATATAAATAAAGGCAAATGAGCTTACAGCAGCCGATTCCAACGCGTGTCAGCGCAGCCTCAGACCAACCCGAGATGGCGTAACCGTAGATCCCTAAAACTTCGTGGACATACCATGCCGTACATACCTCAAAACCATACCACACATACGTTGAACAGTGTCATGTCTTCCATGATTCCATTTTGGCTCTTGTGCGGTATCGTAAGGGTCCTACATGATAACTTTTGGGTGTCGTGAGACGACTGAATAGGTGTCTTTTCAAGGGTTAAAAAGCGACTCTCCAAAAAATCCGGCTGTTGCACGATCGCGCTTTTCAGAATCAGACAACCGACTCGCTAGGTATGCTGTTTCTGGAATAAGTATGATGCCTCTTAGATCACCTCTCAGAGGTGATCAGAGGCCAGAGGTTAAAGGGATCACCTCTTGATCTCTAGACCTGACCGTGACATTGGTGGGAGGCGGAAGCAAACTATGCCAAGTTGCCAGCCATGCACTGCCAAAGAAAGGCCTGTAGGCATGAGGAAATTTGATATGTAAGGTCGCGTCTAAGGTCACACCTGTAGGTTGGAACGTAACGGTATAATGTGGTGCTTTGTTTGGTCCTCAAGCCGATCCGAATTGGAAGATGCAAGGGCATTGTACCTCTGGTACCATCGAGTATACCCGTGTTCATGTCAAGACATTCGTGTCGCTCCCAAAGTCGTGACCGAAGTCACCGGGACTGCTGTTCGCCCCAAGTTGAAGGTTGACCGGGGTATAGCGCGACCGGGGCCGCATGTGCTAAAGAAATGTTTATAGAGGGTTTTGTTCAATATGAAAACTTATTCTTAGTTGGAAACGTGTGTTTTACCTGTGGCCTTTTAGTGGAGTGGTATGAAAAGAGTATTTTCCTTGTCAGTGTTTAGAAAATGCAAAAACTTTTGCAGGATCTTTTAAAAACTTTGTACAAACTTTTCGTTGCATTAATCCGTCGCGCAAACAGCTACTAACATGTTCTGGAGGACGAAGCGTTCCGTCTCTCCTCGGTTTGGCATGCATGGATGTGATGTGTGGCTGCGTCTCTGCCCTCTTTGATACGTGTGTTGGCGATATGTGCTTGAGTTTTTCCCCTCCATGGTATTTGTGTTTATGACACTTGGTTCTATTATTCTCAGCAGCGGTACATTTGGTGGCTGTGTGTGCTATCTCATATCAATGCGGTGTTTGATTTGAAAAGGCAGTTATTTTCCTTATTGTAGATCAATGCAGAGATCGTAAAATTACTGTCCTATGTTTGGGTCTGATGTGGCCGTCACCTTTACTTCTTCTCGGAACACATACGGAGCGGAGCACATGCGGACAGTTCACCGTAGTGGTTTCTGATCTTGCATCCTATTTCAGATAAGTGCAAGGACAAGATTCGGCCGAAGCTGTGCAAGAACATGTTGAACCTGTGCTCAAACGATATATTTAAGACCAAGTGCTGCGCGTCGTGTTCCAAGCACGGCTGAGGCGGACGCCAGTGCAGCGGAGCACCGTGTCCCGAAGACGCTGCTCTGAGGATAACAATGTGATATTCACCGTGCCGGCAATGGCAGCTGGCGTCCGAGGCGTCCGAGTGATGCTGGTTTGTGTGCCTCCATGGGGGACCCATGGATGTACCATTCTAACAGTCTTATGTAATCGTTGATAGCGATGAACACGTTTAGAGAACAATAGACGTACAGCATTCGTGTTCAAGTTCTTGCTAGCCGCATCTGAAGCCATGCGGACGTGGGAGCGCGAAGAGCGATGGAAAAATTATGAGGTGTATAATAAACCGCCAGGGTAGATTGCAGGGAGTTACAGGACATACGGAGTGCCTGAAAAGAAATACGCTTCAGGTTTAAATATAAAGTTTTAATATTGCCCATACAACAACTTCATGCAACATGTTCTAAGCATTGCATGGGGAGTGCTTGCATGCATGATCGTGACAAGACGCCAATGCTGAACCGTGGGGATGAATAATCCAGCGCCGCTTGGCTCGCGGAATATCAAATAGCGTCGGGCGCTCATGACAAACGACAAGCCATCAAAGTGTCACTACCGCCATGATGAGCTCACTTATTTCCACAGTGAATTGACTGATCTGCTGTCGCCCGCTTCAGGTGTATCGTGACCAGGAGAGGTAAAGGCGCATATCTTGTCGCTGACAGGGCCCATAGAGGCAACATTGTCGCCAGCAGCGTAACGCGATACCAGAGAGCATTCAGTGACAATTAAATCATGTCCAGCAGGGCGATCAGATTGTTGCGTCAATTGGCATACTACGCGAAGAATATTTCGTCGACACGCTCATTTTAGGTGTCTCATTCATTCCAATAATTCCTTTCTTGTTTTTAAGCAATATCAACGTAACTGCTGTCACTAGGTATGCAGACACACCGGCCCTAAACTAGCCTAAATCACCTTCGGAACTTGCCGGAACTTCCATTAAAACCTTAAACCAAAGACGGGGTTTTCTTCCCCCGTTGCGGAGCAATGACGAGGGATCTCGACAGTCGGGTGACTGATTACATGCCACAGTTTGAACCAGCGCAAGGCGGCACTGAGAATAAAGCCAAATATTCAGGTGTCCTCAGGGCCGTGCCGCTTACAAAAACCTTGGGTGGGCGCCGAGCATAGCCTCAAACATCATCATAATCTCCACCATAACTTAGGCGTGCTTCAAGCCTGGCGCCGCGTGTGCGGCCCGACGAGCGCCTTTCGCCGCGCCACAGCAATTGGCTATATACGGGTTTAAACTAGGTTTCTGTGCACTCTGAAAAGGAAGGAATATATTGAGTTTCGGGTTTGGTTCAGATTGTGGGAGTGTGGCTGCGTAAAAGCTGAGCGAGAGGAAGTGAGAGCGTGCTGGAGGAATGCTGCGTGGGGATCACAGAAATATATAATCACAGGATCGTTGGAGAATTGAAAAAAATTAACTGTTCGAAAAAAACCAGGGCTGACAACTTATTTTAACGTTCTCATTTTGGCTCGTCGCTTAAACAATGCCATGGCATGCGTTTCCGCCAACTTGGCGCATCCCAGGTATTGCTGAACCTAGCCGTCTATTTATACCCTTTGCATACAGAAGCTCAACATGTTGTTTATTTATTTGCACACCCCGAAGACATAATATGTGTAGTTTTGTTGAGCTCATGTGTTTGTCGCTTCTTTAACAAAAGCCCGACTGTGTTCCTTAACTTAACGCAACTTCACCCGCATACATACTCGAGCGAGAGCATCGGTATACGCGGCGCTTTTGAGCCGTATTCCAGTACTTCTCCTCACCGAAGGTATGCGGAGGTTTTCGCTAACACATGATTTTCAACAGCACCGTTATGAAACAACAACACTCCGTCCGACATATTCGGAATATAATTTGGTCGTCTATGGGAATCATTTTGCTTCCAATACGGTTCACGGCAAGAATCCATCCCACCGCACTCGGGTTCTACTGGCCGATACGGGGCCTCACGCACAGGGAACCTCCTTAACACTCCTAGATCGGCCCACTTGCAATCGGCAACTCCTACACACGCCAACAGAGTCAAGTATACCATTGGCGCCCGCCTTTGAAAGCTGCCGATGTTTCCCTTCGCGATCACATAGCCTTTGACGTCGAAACGGTCGCAGTGCAGCTAAAAGGACGACAATCGTCCAGAGGTTCATGCTGATACAGAGGGCTCTAAGCACCTAAAAAGAACCAAAGCGCACCGTTGGGGACTGAGGAATAGTGAGCAGACATGGCATGTGCGATTACTAAGAGTATTGAGCATCGAGAAGGTCCTTGCCCGTCCAGAGTGCAATCAGAAGGTATCTGGACGGCAATGACCCATGTCCAAAAGGTCGTAACAATGTAGTTGAGTGCTCTGGTGACCAGACTGGCCGCTGAGTGACCATTGGGCCATCAGGAGCCAAACGAGCACTCAGGTGGCCGGATAGACCCACGGGCAGCCAAAGGTTCCCCGTCGTGACCAGAGATGCCCAGGCGGCCAGCAAAGCCTCTGAGCGGTCTAAAGGGAATCCCACCCACCAGAGGGTTCTCAGAAGCGAGGAAAGATGTTCAGATGTCAAAAGGGCCCTGCTCATCGAAGACAGTCCGAAAGCGGCCCGAGGGGCTCTAAGCACACAGAAAGCCCTGAGCCCGAAGTACACACAGGGCCGAGAGAGGTCGGTGCGGTCCCTGAGCAGTTGACAATGACGCCTTACGACGCACTCGGCTTCTGAGGCTACATGGTGCCGCCTGTTTCTCGCGTTAACAAGAGGGACGGGCAACGCGGTGAACCGAAGCCCGCACCTCTGGTTTTCCGGCCGACGTGCTAACCACTAGACTGGAGCGATCAGAATGATACGGGGTGATTCCAAGGCTGTTTAGCGTGTTGAAATGGATCTGGTGATCGAACAGGCCACTGAGTGGCCCGTGAGCCTTCAACAACCAGACTGGTGCTTAGGCGGCGTGAAGGGCTCTCGAAGAATTAAAGGTGCCCATTGGTGACCAGAGGGACGTTAGGCGACCAGAGGAGCGCCTGAGCAGCTTGAAGGAAATGCGACGGTTTTTTTAATGGCCAGAGGGCCCACAGTAAACAAAAGAGCCCTGGGCAATTAAACTGGCCTATAAGCGCTCAGAGGGGCCCTGAGGACACACCCATGCATGCCATCCCTGAGCGACCGAGGAGCCCTCGATCAGTTCACAGGTACCCTTGTTGTTAGAAAGGGACCTCGAAAGCCCAGAAGGGGCCGTACGTATTTGTGAGGGTCCCATGCGGGCAGAGTGCCACTGGTGGACGATAAACATTCAAATAATAAATGCGCAACAAACAACTAGGTAAGTGCACAATAAACATCCAGATAATAAGAACACAATAGACATCCATGTATGAAGCGCACAATAAACATCTAAATGGGCCCTGGAGTGGCCAAAGGGGCGTGTTAAGCCGTCAAAGCATCTGGTATTGTCTGGATTTATATCCTGGCAAATAATATTTTCCCGACAAGAACCCTCCTTTGTGGCTCTTGAGTCCCATTCTCCTCTTTGGGCTCTCCCGAGACAAGCAGTATATATATATATATATATATATATATATATATATACGTATATGTGGATCTGGCGGTCGAACAGGTCAATGAGTGGCCGGTAAGCCTTCAACAACCATACTAAAGGAAACTTGGGCCCTGAAGACATAGGGCCCAAGGTCCTGGCCAAGGTCAAGGTCAAGGTCAAAAGTTTTGCATTCAAAGTCGCATGTTTCGATGTTAATAATCAACCTCCCTTTGGGAGATCAACACACATATACACACACGCACGCGCGCACACACACGCACGCGCAAAGCACACGCACACGCACACGCGCACGCGCACGCGCACACATTCATATAAAGATATATATGTAATATATATTATGCTCATTTCGTATTTGGAACCCCCTCAACCACCACAGATCTCCAGCAATGAACAGCCAGGCTCTCCCTCATATGCAATTGGAGATAAGGAACTTCTGCAACTACGTAATGTTTCAGTTTTAAACGCCAATTTGAAACTAGCAGTGATATGTATAAAAGAAAGTTACTGACCCTGGCGATAACTTGTCAGTTTTCAACTAGGATTCTCAGGAGGGCGTGGGGGATGCGGCTCTGCTTCCCCCCCCCCCTCCCCCCGCCGTCTTTTGTAAACTAAGAAAGATAGGGCCTTGCGGGGAGACAAAACAGGGAATTGGTCTAAAGGAGACCCTGTGAACGGTGGTCAGTCGCATGGTTCGATGTCAATAACTAGCTCCCTTTGGGAGATTAAAGAACATTTTTTCCTGAAATTCAAAGTTACGAAGACACGACACGAAGCCATTTATATACTATATTGGGACACGAAGTGTTGCCACATGGCAACAAAAAACTTACGGAGGCATGCTCCTTGTTCACTTCTAAACACATTCAGGTTCTTTGTGTGTTCGTGAGAACATAGTTACGATGCTCCGTTAATTTAACTGAGTCGGCCAGCCGTGCGAAATTGGCGTTTTCGAATGCTGCTGCCCGCCGCCCGCGTCGGCCGTAGATCGCCGTGCAGTGTTGTTTTTTAATTGTCGTTTCTCGGAAACAAGAAATGATAGAGACACGTTTTTCGCGTAAAAACATACACACAGGTATGTAGAATACCTTAAAATAATGTAGATCGCGGCCTATGCTTGAACAAATAGCTTTAGGACAATATATGGTAGCTTAACTTCGTCACAGAAACAGGGTCCTGGATCAGGCGAGCATCGGAATCAAAGTTTTCCTAGACGGTGCCAAATGTCAAGCTTCTCTCAGATCCTGTGCAACTTGGACCATAATCCCGGAAAATTGCCTGATATCTGAAGTAACTTCTCGACTTAGGAAGGGAGCAGAAATGCAGCCTGGATTTTCTCAACTAGAGGGGGGGGGGAGCAGCAGCCGGTGGGAACTTATCACGCCTTTTTCTTATTTTCTGTCGGGAGCCATCTGTGGCGAAAAAAACGGTGGGCGTCAAGGAGCGTGATCCCACGATCTCCATTGCCTACGCCCCTGGGGAAGGAGGCAATGAGCCTTATGCCCTGCCCCTCCCCTCCCCCTTCTTAGCTTCATTCCTGGTTAATAGCTACACCAATTTTCACCAGACAAGATTTGCACAGTTAGAAGATGGAAGCTGAGAATGCTGTCATTCAACCGGAAATAACTTATTCCGATGCTGAAAATATGAATAAAAAGATTGCTTTTAAAGACCCTGTGCAGTTAGTATGCTCTAATAGGGACAAACCCCTTCCGCCAAAAAAAAAACAAATTGTCACTGCAGAACCATTTACACCTGTTGTCATTTCCTTGGCCCAGAAGTGTCGTCGCCCTCCAAGACCGAACCCGAGGTGCTTTCTGAAAGGGAGGAAAGCTAGGTGCTTGCGACGGCTACGGTGCGGCGGCAGCGTTTCCGGTGTCCCGAAAATGCAGTCTAGATAGCCATAGGCCACTTTTTACGTTAATTGGATCTATTCGCCAACTTTCCCTAAAATGTGCAAGCATCTCTTGTTGAGGGTAAACGCTTGGCCGCGGAGGGTTTAATGCCGTTATCCAGTTCAACGCATGGTCGTTATCTAATGAACAGTGCACGTAATTCATATGCACATGACGTAACATAAATCATTGGAATTCATATAATGAAGGGCGTCCAATAATCATTGATAATTGTATTTCGAGATCACGGGAAGAAGTGCTTAGTGAAGGGAGCAGCACTTCTTTTTGCTTTTCGGCGAGATCGTTGATGATTGACAAATCCCTGAAAGGTCAGAACAGCGCTGCTCGCGTCAAGGCAAAGGTTACCATCTGTCACCAATCAAGCGTGTGAACCCACCTGCACAACTCTGGCACGGATTCTCGTATCTGCTGCGCTGTCGCGCTTCATTCGCGGACTGCGTTTTGCCGCGCTTTGCTTCTCAACGCGGAAACGACCCTAACGCGGAAGCTCTGTCTCCCGTTTTTCCTCCCCCCCCGGCCGTAGATCCTTCAGGAAGTTTCCGACATTTCTCAGAGGACTCCGGCCGGCCTGCCTGTCGTCATCGCGTCCGGCCTGACTAAGCCGGTCACCTGTTGACCAGGCCCGCGTGTGGCGTCGGACCCACGTCGGTGTCCGGCGCACGGCGGCGCGCGGCGCGCGGCGAGCCAATCAATACGGCGGCGGCCACGCCGGCCGCGCCTGGTCCGGCCTCTGCTGCGCGGCCGACCACCACCCACCACTGCCCTCCGCGCCAGGTGAGCTCGCTCGTGGCCCCTCCCAAAGCTCCCGCCGACCCCCCGGCGGGGGGCAGGGCGGGGATGTCGCTCTGTGTCCCACCTGCTGCCCCCTTGCGCTGAGCGCAGCCGTGTTCAGCCAGAGCCGACTGCGCGCGCAGGCGCTCAGCGACGCGGGCGGCGCGGGGCGAGCCCTGCTGTGGCCCGCTCACGGCCCTCGACACGGGCCGATCGTTGCTGTATTGGATTACGGCTTGATTCGTTGATTCGGTTCTGGACGCCATAGAAGCAGCTGATGACATTGGGCAATCGAGCAACCAGGGTGGTCGTGGTGTTCGTTGACACAGACGGCCAGCATTTCGGCTGGAGCTAAAATTGTGCGGGGCTTGTTTGTTCTGCGAACGTTTGGCTTCCGATGGGCTCGATCATTGCCATTCGCGTTATCGTGTTTGCTGAGGGACTGCAAGCATCCGCGTCTTTTGACAGGCCGTGGACAGGCAGCTGCTGGCGCCCTATGGTCGCGTTGACTGCCGTTGCTGGTTGACGACAGTGGGCGGACGTGGGCCGACCGACCACGCGGTCTTGCTTCATTTGCGACAATGAGACTTGTGAAGGCGCTCGTGCCAAATGCCTGCTTTTGTGGCCCTCTGTGGCGATATCCTGCCGCATAAATTCGCGACAGTGACATTCTTAATTGGAGGCGTCGGTGGCTCAAAAGAATGTGGGTGTATCTCACGGGTGACGTCACACATGGCCAATGACACTCTTCATACTTATCTCCAAATGCAATGCTACTGAATTGTCAGTAAACGACAAAAGTGCAGTGCACTCACCCCCGTTTATAGATTGAATACCGCCGGATGTGGTATAGACCCAGGTTGTGGCAATCTCACCTCGTACTTTGCAGCTGATGTTCATCAATCATTTTGCCCAGGGATTCCCGTTAGGGATGCAGCTCAAATAATCATTGAATAGAGTATCATGCCGTCCATATTGGCCCAAATCATGATAAACACCCGTAAAATTTTATTTTGGGGTCGCGTTCTCTCTGCGAGACTTCTTGAATACGCCTCCGCTTTGGTCCATACCCAATGGGACCACGCCGGTCGAGATGATTGTACACAACACAATGCCCGAACGGATGTTGGGAAATGTATGAGATGCTTCCTACCTTTGTTCGCATTTAAGTGGTAAGCCCACTCGAACAATAAATAAACCAACTTCATCAAAGCGTCCCTTAGGTATGGAAATAGTTGTGCTTCCTGCTCAGTGGCCCGAATTGCTGTTGTCTGGTGCCTGTATAAGGCGCTGGTTTTGCTTGGTGACCGTACGAAAGGGCGAAAACGTTTAGTCCCCCTGAAGGCCGGTGCTTATTCGCTTCTCAAAACACTGTTTTGTGGCCCCATTCAAAAGTGCAGCACGCTGTCTACAGGGGGCACCAGGCCGTCTACAGATGGCAGAGGGCTTTGCGTGTGAATTTTCACCCCGCAGTTCCGTGACCTCAGCGCCACTCGCAAGCTAACCGTTGTGCACCATGTTGCAGACGTGGGTAGGTCTGAGAGGAAATCCGTCTGAGTACCAGCCTCGACAGTCCGTCTGAGTACCAGCCTCGACAGCCCGTCTGAGTGTACCCTTGTGTACAGAGTGTACACTTGTGGCCAGGTTAGTTGACTCGTCGCCGTCGTCACTGGGGCTTTACGACGCACTCAGCTGCTGGGTCGTGCGGCTCGCCTGCCTCTCAACCCGGCACGAGGGGCGGGCACAGCGTGTAATCGAACTCTGTGAGGTTAGTTGAGGCTGGCGCGACCAGGCTCGCTGTCGTTCGATGGCTGTCGGTCTGGGCCACTTACGCGCATCTGTGCAGATGTTGTTGAAACAGCTGTGGCCAGGTCTGCAGCGATTGTGTACGAGCGCTGCATGTGGCTCCAAGTGGACAGGCGGTTGCGAAACGATCTACGGATGCAACATTTTCGCGATCTGTATGCCGTTAGCTTAAGTTCTGTATTCCATTAGCTTACTAAAATTCAATAATTGTGCGCACTGATGGAATTAATAATTATTCGGACTTGCTCGTCAGAGGTGTTCCTCTTAGCATTTGTGTAAGCAATATTTAATGATAATAACTACATCTAAGAAAAAATATTGCATGCATTATATTAGAACTATGTGGAATGATTATTTCTTAATAAATGATGCGGCAGATGTATTTATATCATCAATGAAGCAAAGGGAACAACAGTACGATTGATGCCTCCAACTTAACTGTCACTTCATCTCGAACATTTTACACAAGTGTTATATAATTCTTCGAAAATGACTGGCAACACTTTTAATAAATTAAAGTGTATCTCGTTACCTTTCCTTCGCAAAATGATTTGAGCATTCCCAATTTCCATTTGGTGTGGTAATGGCCGCATCATCTAAGTTTGTCGATCAATAACCAGCATGCAATAAAAAATGTACACTGGAGATGTTTAGGATGCAACCCTCTTTCACGTTTGGTTTCGTGCTATTTTTTACAAATTTTATATCGCATGCTACGTCTACATTAGCTGGATTGTGCACACATCAAGTGTACTCAGTGCACAAATTTAGTGCACAAATTTAGAAGGCACAAATTCACTATACATTTTCATACGAATTTGTTTATTCAGCATTGTATGAGTGGAGTCCAAAATGCAATTTGGCTGCCTATAACTTAGCATAGCACACATGAAGTTGACCATCGCCGATCAAATCGTCTCTCAGCAGTTTATTAAAGAGGATGTTCTTGGTGCGCGCCCTGGCAATACAACGTGATGGCATGCAGACCTCCGTGACACGACCCGCCTAACTGACGATCGCGGCCTTCAGCTTATCTGGTGTGCGCGTCTTGTTGACATACACCTGATTGATGAGACCACTGTTACACCCATTGCTTCTCCGGTGGTGTGCAAGGGCTTAAAGGGAATGTTCCACCTTTGAAGATATCTAAGCAAACTTCAGATGTGATGAAATATGCCTGTTTATGACTATTGGTAGACTTTAAGTGGAAAATCCTGCTCTAAACAACAAAATTTATTTATTTGGTAAATATGCTCCTCACTGCGTCATTGTTTGATGGCATCATGGAGCATTTGCATGACGGTGAGGTGCTGCTTTACTCTGTGTTAGAACAGATCTATCAGTTGATGCAATAAATTTTAGAAGGCCCAGCCTATGGTTTACTGAGATGAGAAAGACGATGAAAACGCTGGTACAATTTGATGAACAGCCATTTCAACTTCCACTCTCACTTTCCCCTCAATTCTGGTTGGAAACTGACATCACAGCGTTTAAGGTATCATTTGTTACAATATCAACTTCAAAATCCTCTTGTCTTTGTCACAGCTCGCTAGGTAGTATCATTGGGTTCAGGCAAACAACGCCATGTTTTAGATGCACTCATATAGTTTCTTTTCCATTCATATTCCATGGAAAGGACAAAACTTGGAAGCAGACAATAAAACGGTCGCAATCAGCTTAATGCTTGCGGGTTAATGCAGGTCAGCATGGAAGCACAGCAAGCTTTTGTAGGTGAGATCCCTAGCTAGCCGGGCCAAGCCGAGCTGCGGGCTAACATTTAATAAAAAGGTTACGTTCTTTGCCTCAGCGCTTTACTATGTCACCTCGCGATGCTGAAGCTTCGAGCCACCACTTTAAAAGTTAGCTGACTGCAGGACCTTGGCGAAGCCAGACCGCACGAGGCAGGGCTAATACGATCCACATCGCAGCCGTGCCAACCCACGTGCTCAACTTTCAGGCCCACTCTTCTCTTCCGTGTCGGTCGGCGCGTCATACAACTCCGCCGCCGGCGCCGCGAGCCAATGGTCGGCGCGGCGCCGCCGCCGTGAGCTCGGCCATGTTCCTACTGCGTCACCGGCGCGGCTCTCAGGCGCGGCCGGAGCTGGCGCGCCAGCGCTCGCTCGCCGCTGCCGGCCGGGCGCCGCCGCTGGGCGAGATGGCACGCTCGCCATCGCTGCCGACGCGGCTGTCCGGAGAGGCGCCACCGGTGCCCCGCCGCTCGCTCACCGCCGCCGAGGAGAGCCAGCGCTTCGACGACTACGTGCGCTCGCTGAAGCTGTCGCTGTCGCTGCTGGTGCTCGTCTGTGTCGTGATCGGCGTCTACAGCCTGGCGGGCAACGAGCGGCTGCGCGCGTCGCTCGCTCGGCTCTGGCCGTGGCCACGGTAGGGGCTCACGTGCGGCTCCGACCCAACACAGCCTGCATCGCGTGCGTCCTGCCTTGTATGAGTCAAGGCCGGATGTGGTGGCGTGGTGGAAGGTTAGACCGCGGCTGTGGCAGGTAGGTCTCTCTGCCACCCTCAGACCGGGTCCAGGGTGTGGCAGCAAGCTTATGTGCCCTGTGTGGGTCGGTAAGGGGCGGGGTGGGTCCACTGCACTGCGCAGACCAAGTCCGAGTTGAAATGGGGTTTCTTTGCGACTACCTGACCTCCCATTAAAGCCGGAGGTGGACTTGGAGGACTTGTCTGCCCGCTGCAGGTCAGAGCTGTAGAAGAGGAGTTCGTCGTCTTCTCACGCGCCGGGGCCAGGGTAGGACATGCGGGAAGCTTTCTTCCTCCGGGAAGGTCGGGCTGCATGCCTCAGGACGCCAGGATTTCCTTCGCTGCATTTGCCAGCCTCGAGTTACGGACTGCACGCGTCTTATTCCGAAAGGGGTCTGCACGTCCCCTCCCCCGTCACGAACCAGCGGCGACGTCGGCTGGGTCAGCCAGTGGCGCCATGACAGTTGTCTGGGCTAGGGGAGGTCCTCTGTTGTGTCATACATTCTAACAGACAAGCTCTGGCCTGCAAGAGCTTATCCTTTGTTTCCTTGTAAACTCATGGGACTTTGTATGTTGTTTCGGCTTCAGTGTCGTGGCCGTTCGACCGCAGCCCTCCGAGTCTGTGATACCGTGAGGTGTTGGCTGCTTCCCAGTCCTTCCACCGCCACATTGCCTCGTTGCTTCTGCTGGACTGCTAGGCTCTGCGTGTACACACTCCTACATGCAGCGCTGTTTTTCTAGTCAGGGATGTGTTTTATTAACGCTGTGGAAGCGATCCCACCGCCTGAAATATACGCTACCCAGCCGAATCAAGTGGTTTCTTTGTCGTGGACCGTGTGCGGGGCAGACACTTCTAGACACACTGCTTTTGGCGCAGCGTTTCGCCAGTGCGGGCATTGAACGGCTTGTCATTAGGGGATATGTACATACCTGTGTCTTTTTTGGATTGATCCCAGCTGCTGAATCTGTTAACTTCCCACAGAACCTAACAGATGGAAGAATAAAGAAGTAGTTGGGTTGATATTTCGGCAACATGCCTTTATGGAAACAAAAGCAGAAGTGAATTCCCCGATGTGGATTGATGAAATGGTTCTTCCCCGAGGAATAAAGCTAATACTACTGTCTTATCTAGGCACGTTTTATCTGTGTGTTGTTCGTTATCTACAAGCTTACGGGCAGATTTTGCATGACAGTGAAACTAAATACCAAAAAACCTCATATGGCCAACATTGAATTCTGTCCAACAAACTTAACATTCAAACCACTAACTTTTCATGTGGCGAGAAGATAGTCTCTAGAGTGATTTTACTACGACCCGAACGAATCTGCGTCGGGTTTTGCGGGATTTTTCAACCTTCAGTCGCTACCGCAAGAGTTTGTTGGCATAAACACGCGAACAAACGCGAACGCATTATATCGCATATCCCTACAAATGTTTAAGCAATGACATCTACATTGTGCGTGAATTTGAAGCAGTGAATCATAGCAAGTAAGTGTTCCCTGATCATGTCAGCGAAGTCGAAGTCGTTTTTAGATTTAAATGCGACTGACAGCTGCCACCAAAGCCCGTTCAATGATCAGTTTGCTACGTTGTTAAAGAATCGGAGGCCTGCCTCTTAATAGCTGTCGATTTTCAAGGTTATAGGTAAGGTCAGGGAACGGGAACAGGGACAGCAAGTTAAACAACAACATTCAACACTCAAACTTTTGAATCCATTGCAACAAAGGTGGCATAAAATTACGCTGTGTGTCATTTTGTATGGTAGGCAAGTTTTCAACCCGACAGTCACTGGACCTTCAAGGCCAGCATATTGGTCAAAATGGCTGGATTAGAACCAAATGTAGCGATGAATTTTTGGTAAAAGGAAATTTGGAATACATGAGCAAATCGGACACATTTGTTGTAAAGATTAATTTCTAGCCCAATGGATCTATTTCGCCAATCAGTCTTTGCCGCCGGAGCCCTGGCCCCACCATCGGCAATTAATTTCCGGGCCGATGGCAGAATCTTGTTGCGAAAGCTTACCGCCACGCTCATAAAGGCACGCTGGACGCGGTCAATCCTGCCCTTTGACGTCACCAGAACCTCAGCGCGACCGACGTCGCTGGCTGGAGACCTTCCCAATCACAGGCAAATGGCAAGCGCCTAAAGCGACGCGAACCGACTCCGCCTCAGGTGAGTGAATCGGAATTGCGGGCGCTCTAACCATTTGACCTCTCGGAACAGATGGACAAGTGGGCGATGGGGGCGGATTCGAAGCCAGTTTTCAGACGACTTTTGACCTTTGAGGTGAGACTCATTTCGAGAAAGGAAACACTGAGACGACCAAACGTGTGTGTAGGTTTGGGCAAAATTTATCCCAACGGTACTGCGTGCTCTGATTTAGGATGAGTAAGGCTTTTGTCTCGACAGCCTGGATATATACGATTAAAATTGATACCAGATGAGGAAGCAGGCTATAGCCCAAGCGTGCTGATTTAACGTTCAATTTCGCCACATGACGTTCCTAAGGTCCCCTCACCACATCAAGAGTGAACCAAGCCGGTTTTGAAATAGCGTTCGACGTTCGAGACGACCAAGAAGTTGTTAGTACTGCCAAATTTACGGGTATATTAAACCGAGCCTGGGCTCAAAATACAGAGCGTGCACTGATATAAGGTGGCCGGGATTTGTACCCCAATGATAGTCGCGCTTCGAGGCTGAAATTGAGGCGTTGAGGAACGGTAGGCCAGATATAAAATTACACACTGCATTTTGCAGAAACAGAGCTGCATGCTGTGTGTGAGTCCCATTCAGCCCATCGCCAAGCAGCATTTTAACGGAAGCAGCGCTTTTTTGTCTCTGCTTTGGCGTCGAATTGTGTCCGCTTAGCAAGCCGGCTTCCTCGTATTCTTGTTCGCTCAATGTTTGCTTTTTGAAGGAGTGCGTGTGCTACAAATGTCTCCCCACCTTCCCATTGCGAAACAAGGACACTATTCTTGAAGGAAAACACCGATAGTCATCTGGAAGCTCGGACGTCACGGCACGAATGCCATGAGCGCTGACGTCCAACTATCACTACGTAGCCACCAAATTTCATCATTTTTGACCAACATTACATGGGACAAATATAAAATACGTTGGTTTGCATCAACGTCCCGTGCCAATGCCCAAGGCAGGATGGTCGAGTTTGATCCTGCGGTATGCGCTGTAATGCCATCGATGCAGTTAGGTTTCAGTCCTTTCCGGCTGGTCTCTGTGAAGGTTCGCACATAACACGTTCGACGATAATACAGGCGGTATTTCGTGGTATTTATGACGTCAAACGATGGTCTTACAACACAACCAGAAACACAAAACACGATTTTGACAACATGCGACATGGGCTACGAATATAAACACATCGCACGCGAGCACCGATATAATCAGCACTGACCCATGGGGGTTCGCAAATCACACGAGTGCACGGCGAACATGAAATGCCACATTGAACGCATGAATAAAACTGCAACCGCAGTAACTGCCGTTACTAGACACGCAATACGTGAGGGCCGTAAGAGACAATGCATTGTAACGACCGTGCCCTGGACAGTCGCGATGCCCTTTGATCCACATCGATGTCAAGTGTACACAAACATTAATGGCAAACACAGCAGCCTAGGAGCTAAGCCAGTTTTCCATAAGCCCGGATTTCAATACATCAACTAAGGTTCTGAACCTGAAACCTCGTTTCAGGCGACGATAAATGCGCACTATATCGCCGCGGGCACAGTCGTGTACAGCTTGATGGCCCTACAGACGTGCATTAGCCGCCGTTGCCGTGCGGGGGGTATCCTCGCTCTTGTATATGTACTTCAGGCGTACATAATACTATGCAAGTTGAGAACCGTCGCTATCACACCACTACTTCCACTCGGGTTGCCTCGCAGCGCATTGTACAGGTAAGAATGAACGGCTACGTTCTTAAGAATGCTCTGAAGGTAACGTCGGAAGGCATGCTTTCACGAAGAACCAAACACAAAGACTAAACCGATACGACGATTGCATGTGGCTCAAAGATAATTTCACGACAGTTAAGTCGCGTAGGCATAATCTGTGACCAATGATCTCCCGAAGGTGGATTAAAGCCCGCTCCCGTTTCCTGGAGCAACTTTTGAACTCATTTGGGTGGAGATAAAATATTTGTCGTGCCTGTTTGGTTGTCCATTTCATACATGCCGACCATCAAATTCGACGCTCAGTACGACCAGGGAAATACGACTTTGTCACCTGCTTATCATACCTGTGTACGAGTCGTGCAAGCTGAACAACTGCTGCGAGGAGGCTCGCTGATGCATGGCATTGAGGCACCCCCACCATGCATTCCGACCTATTGCACTGTGCCCTGACCACATTTGTCCACGCTCCAGTCACGGAATGGGTAACACGCACGCCCCTCATGACCTCGTCATCCTCGCCCACCACACGTTCGCGTCAGCCAACTTCGGTCTCCGGCTGCCGGTCCATGACCCCGCTGCTTACTCGTCTCACGCGCGCACGCCACGGCGAGAAGCATATCAGACTAGCCACGGTGAACAGCCTCCGTCACGCACCCTCTGCATGTCAGGGCGGCACGGCTGGGACGCGGCTTCGGTGTAGCAGGCTACCTACAGCTGGTTGACTTCAACGACGTTCGTTCGTTGGTTGCCTTGGTCCAAGGCTTTGATGTTTCCGTTCCGCCTGAAACATCAGCCGACTTAACTTTAGTACGGCTGTTGTTCATTGTCACAGCTGTCATACCTGTTCACACACCGGCGGTGGGTCTACACGTGCCTCCCTGCGCTGTTGCCGCCCATTGTCACAGTTGTCATACCTGCTCACACACCGGTGGTGGACCTACACGTGCCTCCCTGAGCTCCTGCCGCCCATTGTAACAGCTGTCATACCGGCTCACACACTGGCGGTGGGCCTACATGTGCCTCCCTGAGCTGTTGTTCATTGTCGTAGTTGTCATACCTGCTCACTCACCGGTGGTGGGCCTACACGTGCCTCCCTGCGCTCCTGCCGCTCATCGTCACAGCTGTCACACTTGCCCACACACCGGCGGTGGGCCTACACGTGCCTCCCTGCGCTTCGTTCATTGTCACAGCTGTCATACCTGCTCACTCACCGGTGATGGACCTATACACACCTCCCTGCTCTGTTGTTCACTGTCACAGCTGTCATACCTGCTCACACACCGGCGGTGGGCCTACACGCGCCTCCACACGCTCCTGCCGCCCTTGGTCACAGCTGTCACACCTGCTCACACACCGGCGTTGGACCTACACGCGCCTCCCCGCGCTCCTGCCGCCCTTGGTCACAGCTGTCACACCTGCTCACACACCGGTGGTGGACCTACACACGCCTCCCCGCGCTCCTGCCGCCCTTGGTCACAACTGTCTCACCTGCTCACACACCGGTGGTGGACCTACACACGCCTCCCCGCGCTCCTGCCGCCCTTGGTCACAGCTGTCACGCCTGCTCACACACCGGTGGTGGACCTACACGCGCCTCCCCGCACTCCTGCCGCCCTTGGTCACAGCTGTCACACCTGCTCACACACCGGCGGTGGACTTACACACACCTCCCCGCGCTCCTGCCGTACCTTAGTCACAGCTGTCTCACGCCTGCTACACACACCGGTGGTGGACCTACACGCGCCCCCCCCACGCACATCCTGCCGCCCCTTGGTCATAGGCTCACCCTGCTCACACACCCGGTGGGGGACCTAACACGCGGCCTCCCCCACTCACTGCCGGCCCTTGGTCACAGCTGTCCACGACCTGCTCATCACACACCGGCTGGTGGACTTACACAGCACGCCACCTCCCGCGCTCCTGCCGCCCTTGGTCACAGCTGTCTCACCTGCTCACACACCGGTGGTGGACCTACACACGCCTCCCCGCGCTGCTCACCCGCGACAGTTGAGCGAGGCCGGCTTCAGGCCGGATGACTGGCGCAGCAGGGTGTCGCAGGTGCGCGCCGTGTCCAGGATCGCCAGCTCGACGCTCGGCGACTTCTGGCGCTTGGAGCAGGGCACCTGCGGTGAGGGCGCCGCCTGTGGTGAGGGCTCACTGGCTGTGGTCGCATGCGACACATACTGTTGCCATCCCGCATGAGCTTTGGTCGCACCGACTCATCCGGTGCAATGAGCACACGAACACATGAGATAGCGTCCAATTGTTACGGCTGAAAATGGATGTGCAGTCAGAAAGAAATGCCCGCGTTCATCATGAAAAAAATCAAAAGAACACGCCACGTGATCACGATGAAAAAGAGCATTATTCCAAACGTCGAAGCATTGCGACTGCGCTTGGCACATGACAGTTGTGTTCTTGATGTTGGCACTAATTGTCGTGACCGCAGATGGCCGACCTACATCGGTGTTTTTCCACTCCTGTGGCAGGTATGGCGCTTCGTAAGCAATCAAAGATGAGTAGTTCTGCTGTGGAAACAGTAATAAGCACATGGAGACTACTGGGAAAATCGTATAGGAGTGTCACCAGTATACTGGATGAGGAACTGCAATAGCGACCACTTGCATGAGCCTGGCTCGAGTTGACTCCTCCCGTACAATATGCGCACGAATATATCGCGTTGTGTCTACTTTTACGGCGGACGTTAGTCTGAATGTTATTGCAGTTGTTAATTAGCAAAGTTCCGTTGCTAATTAAAAGCTGAATTATAAACACATCAAGCAAGGAATGCAAAAAAGAACCGGAAAAGGGAACATTCCCGATTGTCTTGGCATGCACCGCAGCTTTTGCCAGTGGAAAAACAGTAAAATAGCCTGAATTTAAAGGTTACATTAACCAAGACGACATCATCATTTAGTGATTGAAAGGTCATAGTGATTGAAAAGGTAAGTGTAGTCTGTAATGTATCTTGAATGCAAATCACGGCTTTGCTAGATGGATAGGAGGCTTGCTACCACGTGCCAGTAACGCTAGCTGTGAGGTCAGTCGAACGGACAGGTCAGTGGCGTTGAGGGGCCCGTTGTTCACTGCAAACGTCGTCCCCAAATTGCTACAAATGACGTCACAGGTGTCACAGGGCTCTGCATCGCAGCAATTCTGAGGCTTTTGAGCGCGGTTCCTCGTTTGCGGCGTAGCTAAGCGTGACACCATATATTATTGCATCACGTGAGTAACTTGCTTATTAAAAACTTAACTATATGCAAATATGAAGGGCCATTCGCAACGGGAGTCGGCAGAAGCAAGCGACTTAAAACTAAGGCTGACACACGAATGATGCAAAAGGAGTGCCCATTGGATTATGAACAGATCAAGCAAAGGACGTGAAAAAGGAAACTGAAATGAGGAAACACACATTTTTGCTGCCTTGGCACACATCGCAGTTTTTACGAACGAAAAACTAGCAGTATAGCCTGACGCTTATGACCGCATAAACTAACACGCCTACCCACCCTGCGTGGGGGTGTTAGTTTATTAGTTAGTTGTTTGGTTAGTTAGTGCTAGTTCAGTCAATTAGCGCCTATCAGGCCTCAGATTTGTAAAACCGTACCCGTGACAATTATGTGTGCGGGTTTTTAGCCAGCGCGTGATTCAATAATAAAGATTTGACATACATGAATCAATTATATGCACTTAAAGGGAATGCTCCATGTTCATATGGGGCTTTGAACTGAAAAATCTACCTCAAAGATCTTTCAGCACTTTGCATGCCCTTCTTAAGACACAAGTCCATTTAGGTTCTGGGCTACACATCCGCGAAAAAGGGAAAGGCATGTCGAGGAGAGCATTTCAAAGTCATATGTCATGACGCCTCATGGCATTCATGACGTCATACTAACGTCATTCAGGTCCCATAAGCCATGCGGCGATCAAGGCCAGAAAAACATAATTGTCGAGGCGTTCATATCTGGTGTTTGTGAGCACGATTTCCAGATATTGCGGCCGTCAACGAGCTCTCAACCAATGTTGTGCACGGTACGATGACGTAATCAAAGCATGACCCATTGAGGATCATATTTACCAAACACAGGATTGCGCTGTCTGGAGTAGCCTTTTCCGCATAAAAGGTATACCAATAGTTAGAAGTGATCTTTTTCCATCTTATCTGATGTTTGCTTTAATATCCGCAAAGGTAGCATAACATTTAAGCATGAACTTGCAGGACAAAAATTTTATTTTGGGTTTCCCTTGAGTATCTTATACCATCTGTTGCCGACAACCATTTCATTCATAGCTGCCGAACGAGATGGGATGATGAAGAAGTATTCAGCTTCATGTATATCACGCATGTACAATTTAGCTTATATTTAACGCAGCATCCGCATAGATAAAAACGACATTTTTATATATTTTTATATGCATATGTTTGTATAAATGGAATGAGTTACCTGACCGTAACCCATGTGCAGTCTGGTGCGAGGCGCAGCGAAAGCCAGGACTTTGATTCCTGGTATCTCAGGCCTGGAGAGAGAGCGAGGGCGAGAGGCAGAGCTACAGCTACAGCTAGAGTGACAGCGAGAGAGAGAGAGAGAGAGAGAGAGATAGGAGAGAGAGAGAGAGAGGAGAGAGAGAGAGAGAGAGAGAGAGAGAGAGAGAGAGAGAGAGAGAGAGAGAGAGAGAGAGAGAGAGAGAGAGAGAGAGAGAGAGAGAGGGAGAGAGAGCACGATTTTGAAAATCACTGGTTTGGTTATCGGCAAAGGGGACACAATTATAGATTTTACGTAACGGTGATCTGCACAGGGACGGTACTCTGCGCAGGGGGTGCTGGCAGTTTGAAAGTATATGCCATTCAACCTACGCGATATATCTGCTCATGTAAGCACATCCTACGCAAATATGCTGAATGCGCTGAGTAACATATCGCGCAAAGCGTGTGAAATGCTGTAACATAGGTTAGTTCAGACAAAGCGGCGTCATAAATACAACAGGACGCTGCTAACCTGAATTAAATTTACACCTCTTATGTCATTTGCATTCGTCTACACAGGCTATGACCCCATAAAACAAGTGCGTGCATAATGATTATATAACGTATGTGCATTGCAGTGGCAAATGCGCACGCGTAGATAAGTATAGGCGCTTAATTTAAGATCTACCTAGCTCGAGATCTACAGCTCGGCCAGGGTCCCCTGTATTGATTTGATGGATTAAACATGCCCGTAAATAAGCGTCAACTAAAAATATTGCATTGGTACTGTTCGTGGTGGATCCTCCTACCGGTTCGGGAACGACATACCATAATAAGGCAGATAACCTGGCGCAGCTAGACTTGAAGCCATGGTAATGGGTTGTGAATATGACTTTAGGATTATATGCCTGTTCGTGTTATGATAAGTGCTGCAACAAAACTTCGAAAAGTTTGCAGGTCATCTAGAGCATCGATGGAGATACACATAGTGCATAGAACACAAGTCTGCCTTATCTTGAACAGCTTTCCACTTCATAGCTCTTCGTTGCGTTGCTGGTAACCATCGCAGTTATTTTTAAGAAACCCTAACCGGGAGGACTCTACTGCTTGCATATTATAGGAAGAACAGCAAATGAGACTAACCCAGGGTTGAGTCTACACCGATGCCAGTCTGACTACGATCCCAACTGCCGACAACACCGAGATTGCACCCACGCCGGGGACGCGTGACGTTTCTTCCTGGAGTTCTCAGACCATGTCAACACGACGGCGTTTTCACGTGGTGAGCACACACGATTCTTTGCGGGGGGGGGGCAAACTGCACATACGTAGACGTAGTGGGCTGGCGCGGTTTTAAGCGCCGAGCCGCAGGCCTCGCCTGGAGTTAGAGCGATGGATCCACGGCACTACTTCCCCAGTCACGCTGAATATCTACTCCATTGAAAACAGCTATGTTCAAAGACAAGTATGGCGACTTTATCTTGACAACACTCACCAATGCACTGTGTTCAACCGTGTTTTTCGAGCGACTTGTCTCGTCTTCTGGCCCCATGCTGGGTGCGCCCCTGTGCCTCCGCTCGCTGGGCGCGCCTCTGCGAGCGGCCTGCGATTGGTCGTTTTCGGACGCCCCGGACAGAGGTCAGAGGCGATTGGTCGGTTTCGGACGCCCCGAACATAGGTCAGAAGCGATTGGTCTGTTTTGTACGCCCCGTACAGAGGTCAGAAGCAATTGGTCGGTTTTGGACGCCCCGGACAGATGTCAGAAGCGATTGGTCTGTTTCGGACGCCCCGGACAGGGGTCAGAAGCGATTGGTCGGTTTCGGACGCCCCGGACAGAGGCCAGAAGACGCGGACCAGCTACGTCGAAATTCATGGCAGACACATACAACGTGCTAGGCATTCGTTTGTCCACTTTGCTGCCAGCGTGTAACACTTACATTGGGGTGTATGCACTATTATGAAATTTTAAGGCGCTTTCAACACGCGTCAGTGCCACGAGCCGCTTTTATTGCAATGACCAGTTCACGATAAACTAGAGCAGCTCCTAAACGACATAAATGAGCCTGGCGCAGACAAAACGTATTTGCGATGCACACAAGACCTTTGACACCCCCGACGCGAGAGGGCCCGACACAGCCGGGGCTGACCACCGAACCATCGGCTCTCACCTCGGGCAGCAGGCAGAGCTGCGAGTGGTAGAAGCCGTAGACCAGCGGGTTGGCGCATGAGTTGCCGCTGGCGAAGATGAACAGCACCCGACCCACCATGGGGTTGACAGTTTCCGCCGACTTGCGATCCACCCAGTACCTGTTGAGGAGGCAGCGCTGAGAGTGGCGGCGCCGACACTGCCGCTTCGGAGAGCGCCAGCGGACAGGGCGTGACAGGCAAGCCCCGTGCCACTGCCGCCAGCGGCTCAGCGTCCGCTCATTCACCGCGCACAGCGCCCTATCCGCTCCATAAGAGGTGAGGGTGCAAACGCTTCCAGGAATGCATGCAATGTCCACACCAATCGCTAAAATGGACGATGTGCATTAAGTCGTTCCTGTACGAGTTTGGACACATTCTCATTCGTTGGTTTGCTGTCGTCATTTAGGTCGATGACGATATCATGCCTGATCCATTTGTGTACCAAATGCAACAGGAAAGCTCAAATTCCCGTGATCTAAATTCGTGTCTTAAGAAAACATTAAAAATAGCATTCTCTTGTGACTGACGCTTCAGATCTAGTCCGAACCTTTTGCATCGATGAAATTCTGGCATCAGAGCTGTTTGTAGTGTGTGCCCTGGCCCCTATTATTCGTTCGCGCAATTCCGGGTCAACGGCACATTTGGCGGAGAAAGTTAACCGTGCGATAGTCTTCGGCACGGTCCGTCCTACCCCTCACATTGTCTGACCTTTAACAGCCCGCCACGTTTGGGTGGATCGGAAGGCAGGCGCATTCACCAAATGAGTTATCGGGGCGGACGTATGCTACCACAGCTGCCCTCCCCTGCCCAAATCGTCTCTTCATGCGCCCTTTGCGTCGGAACACATTTTCAGGCCTCGGGATGGGCAGCTCATTAGGTGTTGGTAGTGAATAGCGCTGACACAATGCAGGTCGATTGGCTATGCTAATCGCGCTGCCCCTAGGGCCTCTGCTTCCGTTTTCGGTGCTCGCGGTCCGAATGATTATCTGTGGAGCTGAGCCCGTGTAGTATTTAGTTTCTAGCTCGAGTAGCACCAAAGTACTCTGGAATGTTCCAAACGCGAGGACTAAACGTTAATTTTCACGGTTGTTATTACGAAATGAATTATTCGCAAATCCAGTCGCGAGCTAGGCTGCGTTCAAGATTCTGTTCCCATTCGTTCACGGCATATGTGTGGTGGCGTATAGCGAGCAAATGACGCCAACGGGAGGCGCTCCACCATCGGTAAATAAACAGGGCTGAGCAGTGGAGGCCGTCACGGGTGCTCCACCATCCGTGGACGAACAGGACTGTCCAGTGGAGGCGTTCAGGAGTTAATTTCCTTACTTAATCCATCCACTACCCATGGGGCTCTGTCCAGAGCCGCCCGCTACCCCACTGCGTTAGTTGTACCCAGCCGTTTGCATTTTTTAAAGAAGTTTACTTCAAACCTATAAGAGAGTTTCAAGAAACGTTACACCAAGACATACTTTTTGGCAACTGATGATTGCAGTAGTGATGGGAATGGAGCTTTTTTTACGAATAAAGGCGTAATTCACAATACTCAGTATACCTTCTTGGTTATTCTTCCCGGTCTTCTGTAAACACCTTATCCATATCATTTTTCATACCGGTCAGTTTCCTAAAATCTGTACGCAACTCAGTCCGTTTTCATATGCTTCAACTTATGCTAATGCACGAATGCGTGGCGAACCGCGCATTCCAATTCTGAATCGAAGTTGAGGACCAAACCTGTCATTTTATGCTGACCTGCGTTGCTAGTCACAGTTGCAGATACGATTATGAAAAATACGTGGGTAAAGCATTGAATGCAAATTGCTACCTGAGCAGGCGGAAGTAGCAAACTAAATATACTTGGTACCGAGCAAGAATTGAAACGATCGGAAATCGTGGTATAAAAGTGGCATACTGTTTTCACAGCCAGCTACACTTAGTGACACATAGAAAACGCTGACCTGGAGACTAGCACAGGGTTATTTGCCACCACCGCAGATTAGCACCTATAATGCATTTCAGTCACCAGTGGATAACACCACTGATTACGGAGGATTCTCCACTCGATTGGCGATGCCATCAGGCACTGCAGGGTGGTACGGGCGCGTAACGCCCCCAGTGATCTTTAAAAATTCAACATAGAGCATAAAATGGCGTTGCATAGACAAACTGGCCCCACAATACCCTGTGCCCTAAGCAGCGGCTGCTGGTGTCACCGCGCACGGTCACCACGCCGAGCAAGTCTATCATACGGAAAGTTTGGCAATGGCGTCCAGTTAGTCTCGTAGTTTGTCCTCCCGTCGGCGGTAGGCGATGGCAGCCCATCATACCTCATACCTGGTAAACTGCACGTCCCAATGCATAGCGACCTCGTTTCCGGTCCAGTGGTGTAGCCCGGGAACCAGAGCTTTCATCGGCACTGAACGTCCGTCTCCCGCTATGTGGTGCGTTTGAGAGCAGGCCTTGAGCATGGCGACTTCGCCCCTCGCCGACCCAGAACGACATAGCCGCGAAAGGCAAATTAGTTTGGCTTGCGCCGCAAGTTAATCTCGCGGCGCCGGGAATTGTGCCGCAAAACCAATTTGCATAATGATTTACTGAACGCCAGCCAGAAGCCATCTTTTTGGAGGCTTGAAGAAATCAACGTTAAAATAAATAGTCTTACTTGCGTGCGCGGCCTAAAAATGACTCACCTTCGGCTAACTTTGTTAACCTAAAACGCTTTAGTTGTTTTCCTAGTTCTCGCCACTACATTTGCAAATCAGCGCTTCATGTCGGTTCAGATGTCGTCAAGTAGGCTAGATTTCGTGCCAAATGTCGTATTTCACCGCTAAATAGAGCGCTCGCCTCGGGCGACCAAGCTGTTCCAGGAGCCTGGGGTGCTTGCAACATACCGCAGTGCAGCCTGCCTGCTATATGCAACTTGCAACGTGCTACATGCCGCAGCACAACCTGGCTTCCTGTGTCAGACTAGGCCATGGACGACTTCTTTCAAGTCACGTACAAAAGTCGCAAGCCTACATGCAAATGTAAACCAGCCACAACGCGAAAAATGGTTGATGTCCCAAGGGTAAGTGAATGCACCGCTGAGCAAGTAGTCATCAAATGTGGTCATCAAATGTCGCAACGTGATGCACCGCTGGCGACCACCGACCTCTCGGTACGCGCTGCTCAGTGAGGGTATGAGGTGCGTGCAGGATGGGTCGAAGGGTGCAGCTGCGCACTGAACGATTCAGCCCTCGCCTTGGGAGGATCACATGCGCACGTCGATTGCGTGGTCGGAGCCACGCTGCCACTATGTGTAGCGCCCACGTCCCGCAGCGCCCGTGCACCATCGGCGGTTACTGCTCCTATAGCCGCTCGTGCATGCTAGCACCGAAGACAATCAGGTGCGCAGTGATCATCTGTGGCTTAACTAGTCATCAAATGGAGGATCTTCCATAATCAATGGTTGCATCCACTGTTGATTGAAATGCATTCTAAGTACTGCCATGCCTATTATTAGGTACTGCCATGTCTTAGAAACGAATGCCTATGGTCGTCTCCATTCTAGCTATTTCATCAAATGCAATGCGACATAAGTGAGTGGCTCTTGCCATGCTGGCGACGCCAGTGTAGCTGCCTCTCGTTACGCTGTCCGGTTGCTATTAGTCGATGGGGTTACATACCCCAATATACCCCAATATACCTCAACATACCCCAATATACCAGTGATCGCCCAACCAGGCCTCAGGCCATGTGCTGCCAAATTTCGCTTCAAATGCCCCTCAACCTTCTGATGTACCCGCAGCCTCCTGGTGGCGTCATAGTGGTTAACGCTTTAGGCTTCCGCGTGTTAGGCCTGGATTCGAACCTCGGTTGCGCCACGGCCGTTGAGCGCCGATACGACCCCTGCAGTCGCAAGCGCTCCATAGCGGGGTGCGCAACGACGCGCGTCGCTTCCCACTTTTAAAGAGCCTTCAGAAGAAAATAAAACCATAATGTGGTGGATGCATTTGCCGAGAGCACTCCTGAACGCTCGGCGACGGTTCTCTCAGCTTCGTTTGGGGTGCCAGCGCCCCATTGTTCCGTACACGAGGGCGGTTAGGCGATACCAAACTGTGCCACACGTAGTCATGTTATTCAATTCAGAAACTGACCAAAGTTGCCTCGAATCAAAGCATTATTGCTGCCGGACAATTAACGATGTTATTTTCTTTTTTATTTTACCTAATTAACTATGGTGCATTTGCTAATGCATCCTTCGTCAATTAATAAACCTCATTAGTTATTGGCTAGTTATCAATTTGCATTCCAGACCTGATGGTTCTGATTTGGTTTATGCGGCCATGTCCCCCACGGTTGCCCTGTCAGCCTACGCCGGAAGCCAGGGCACGCACCCATCCTCTCAAACACTGAGTACAAAGCTGGCTGTACCCTCCGCGGCCATGCCCCCAACGGCTGCCCTTTCAGCCACTGTCGGAGCCCAGGGCACGCACCCAGCCCTTCAAACACGGAGTACAAAGCTGGCTGTACACTCCGCGGCCATGCCCCCAACGGCTGCCCTTTCAACCATTGTCGGAACCCAGGGCACGCACTCATCCTTTCAAACACTGAGTGCAAAGCTGGCTGTACACTCCGCGGCCATGCCCCCAACGGCTGCCCTTTCAACCATTGTCGGAACCCAGGGCACGCGCCCATCCCTTCAAACACTGAGTACAAAGCTGGCTGTACCCTCCGCGGCCATGCCCCCAACGGCTGCCCTTTCAACCATTGTCGGAACCCAGGGCACGCACCCATCCCTTCAAACACTGAGTGCAAAGCTGGCTGTACCCTCCGCGGCCATGCCCCCAACGGCTGCCCTTTCAACCCTTGTCGGAACCTAGGGCACGCACTCATCCTTTCAAACACTGAGTGCAAAGCTGGCTGTACCCTCCGTGGCCATGCCCCCAACGGCTGCCCTTTCAACCATTGTCGGAACCCAGGGCACGCACTCATCCTTTCAAACACTGAGTGCAAAGCTGGCTGTACCCTCCGCGGCCATGCCCCCAACGGCTGCCCTTTCAGCCACTGTCGGAGCCCAGGGCACGCACTCATCCTTTCAAACACTGAGTGCAAAGCTGGCTGTACACTCCGCGGCCATGCCC